CCAGCACGAGACAGAACCTGCATCAATGTATCAGCTGACAAAAGAATGAAAAAGTGATATAATCCACTCAAAATAAAGGTTTTTTTGTCCAATTCTCATAGTGTTACTCTCTCGAAACCCAGAAGTATTAGTGTAAGGATTCTAATGTTAAAAAAACTTTAATACAAAAGCTGAAATAGGAACGGGCATCCATACCACACAAGATCACCAACATGAGAAATGAAGATCACTTCATTTCCAACTAACATGACAGTGGCTGTTGAACCGGAATCATCGTTGCCATCTCCAATCTTTTCAAGCCTTCAACAAAATGAAACACCAGCTAATCCTTCAACCATAATATACAAAATTCTACAATTATATCAAGACTACTAAACTAAAATCCAATTTCAATATTTGATTGTTCCAAAGCATATTTCCATTTTGCTCACCAGTTTAGCAACTTTTTATCAGTAATTTCAAAAGCATCCGCTAACGCTTTCTTAATAGAGTGTAAATCTCCGTTCAACAATACTCCACCTTGCAAAGCTGTAACACACTCTTTATACAGCTCATCTCTGCTTTAACCCGAACCATCTCAAATCAATTAGTATTTGCTAATTAGCTAACAATAGAAGATGCAAAAGGAAATTCATAATAATAATAATAATAATTTCCATGCCTGAGATACTTGACGGAAGATACGCCGCCATGGCCATCAAAGACAGCAGCGAAGGAGAATCCATCAAGGCCGTCCGATCGTAGAACCAAATCATCCTCCATCTCCTCGCGCCTGCCCTGCACGCTGGCGGACCCCAACGGATCCCGGAGACATCGGCTAGCGAAGAAGGAGCGTTGATTGCAATTGCGGAGCAACGGCATGGGATTCTGGATCTTATCGCCGTTGAGGTAGTTAATGGGTTCCTGTAAGCGGTTTTGGTATTGGAGCTGAAATTGAACTGGATTGCAAGGAATCTTTGTAACTGAGGAGCGGGTAACGCCATTGCTGTTGGCTGACTCAGTACGAACCGCTGAGTCAAAGCGGATAAGTTGGGGTTACGAGTTTCGGTTTTTGTGTGGATGATGAGAATCTCCTCTGTTAACTGTGGGGAAGGTGTGTGGCGATGATAAGAGAGTGAAATTAATCCTCAAACTGATTTAACGGATTGATTCCACGTGGGCTGTGATCTTCTACGGATTTTCCACTACACTTTGAGATAGTATTATCTGTTCTGCGGTTCAGATTTCGCCACATCAGATAATGAAATTAGCTTATTTGCCCTTATCATCGACTGGATACTTCACTTATAATGAAATTAAACTTGAGCTATGGGCACTCATGTTTCTGTAGCCTCAGCTCTTGCCAACACATTAAAAGTCTCATTGGTTCTCTTTATTTAGGGTATACTACATTATTAGTCATCCATGAACTAATATGTTTTCGTTTTGGTCACCATTCTCTATTGTTTTATATTTTGCCACCATTGATTTTTAATGTAACATTCTTCTAATTGTCATGACAACAGAATTTCACTCTCAAAACCTACATATTTTTCTATCTAATTTTGAAAAATACAACGTATTAATATTATTGATGGAAATAAGTTTAGTTATCGATCGTTAATGTTTCATCTCTTCTGATTTAAACGAGAGTTGTGACCTGTGAGAAAATAATTATTGACCTATATTTGAAAGGAGAAAAGAGTAGATTATCAAGAGGAAGAAGAAAGAAGGTCAACTGATTATGCATGATCCATCCTCCTTTCCCATCTTGATTCGAGTATTTATGATCCATCCTCCTTTCCAATCTTGATTCGAGTATTTATAACGACCTTTAGTGCGTATGACAATTGTAAGATCATCTTGATCTTGACTGTCTGTAGAATAACATATTAGGTAGATCAAATAAATTTTGACTTGATTTTTTTATGGAATGTCACATGAGCCTTTAAAAGATTTTATCTATACAAAGTAGTTGACTAGAAATTTGTATTCAAATCGACAAATTAATATTGTTTAATCGGAGGCCCAATATTTTTATATTTTTTATATTTTTATTACGTAAAATAGATATTTAATTAAAAAATATAGAGAAAAGTGTATTATAACAATTATTCTAAAATATATAAAAGTCAATTATATTATTATTCTTGGGTCGGGTCAAGAATTTTCAAAAGAAAATAACACTACAAGATCAAGTCGAAATCCGAAATCCATTGGGTTCGAGTCAAATGTCCTTCCCAAGTAAAGGCCAATTTCACCTCATTCAAATAACTTGCAAATACTAAACCCTAAATCAAGGAGGAACAAGGATCCATTAAAACAAAAAAGAAAGAGAAATGGTGAATTTGAAACTTAACCAACTGCTTAATACAATCATCAATAAGTCTTGAGCTTATTGTACACTATCATTCAACCTTTAATTGTTTTTATGTGCATATGCATGTAAAATGTTACCTTTTTAAAAACTTCAGGTGAATTCTTCCTTCAAATAACCTGCGGGCTTGAAAGGGTCGGATTCGGCGTATGCATCCAGACGGTAGAACCCGGAATCATTGACACGGTTATTGAGCACATGAAGTATAGCTTTCTTCGAGCCTCCGTATTCATCCCGGTTACTCTCGATGTATTCTTTGGCCTCAGCCGCTACATCATTCACGAAATCGAATCATATGGTATCGTTCGCCAAAGATCCTGGCATCTTTGTTTTCTTTCACTACTGCGCCGTTGATAGTTGATCTCCAGTTTCGTTGATGTTGTTCCGTTTCTTCCATTGATTGTTTTTTTTCCTTCATCCGCTGCTGCTATTTTCGTTTGTTGTAGATCTAAATCAGTTCAACTTTTGTTGCTTTCTCCATCGGATTGTCACTTTCCTCAGCTGCCTGCGCCAATTTTCTGCAACCCATTTTATTTTCATAGCAATACCAATTCTCTTCTTCAACAATTTATTCACTGAATCAACCTTCTGTTTTGAACCAATGGTGACAAACACCACTTTGGACAGAGTGTGCCCTTCCCAGGGATCCCATAACAATGTCGAACTCGAAAACCCTGCTCGCTTTTTCGTCGACGAGCACAACAAGAAAGAAAACGCGATGGTCGAGTTCGTGCGAGTTGTGAAAGCAAGCAAGCAAGTGGTGGCTGGGACGCTTCACCATTTGACGGTGGAAGCTATCAATCCCGAAAGATGTCCATATACTGTAAGCTGTGTCCACAAACGATCCTGTAGTTCATGGTGCTACAATCATGCTGTGAAGACTATACAACAGAGATCCAATTCGCTGCTGCCTTACGAACTTATAGAATTCGTTTATGCCAACGCCGAAGTATCAAAAGATTTCGCGAAACTAACATGCTTCTTAAGTTGAAGAGAGACAATGAAGATAAGAAGAAAGAAATGAAGGTAAACAAGATAACGGAAGGAAACGTCGCACTTCCGATTCAAAGTGAACGGAAGAAAGCATCGACACTTCCGATTCAAACTGAACGGAAGGAAGCATCGACACTTCCGATTCAACTGAACGGAAGGAAGCATCGACACTTTCGATTCAAGTCGACCGGAAGGAGGCGTCTGCACTTCGATTCAACTAGAACAGATAGTTTACTAAATCATTGTACAAATCTTCGTTTGAGCAATTTCGACCCAAAGTGCAGGATTTGTCATTTGATCAAGGAGAAGGAAAAGAGTAAGGAGAATATTGGAATATGTTCTGGAATACATGACTTCATTCTAGAATATGCAGTAACGTGTGTATGTGATGCTGATGTGAGCGTTGTGTGTGAGTAAGTTGTTATAGCTGTTAAGAAATATTGGATTCTGTTTATGAGTTTGTTATAGAGGTTGAGTACACTTGAAATTACAGCTTGTATATAAGCTGGCTGGTTGTAACGTAGTTAACAATGAGCTTAATGAATGTTATCAGAGGTTATTCATTGAATTCTATCTTCTCAACACAACATTTCATCTTCGCCTGAACAGACACAAGCAAACTGAACCTCCACTCCCACGTAAACATTGCAACTAAATGCCATTAAGCGCAATATTTTCACCATGACAACACATGCACATCCATACGAAGCAAGGACCAAAGATAGGTATAGCTCGAAATTCGTTTCGATACGTATAATAACCTTGACTGATCCTAAATGCCGGAAGATTTCCACCGTGTACGGGAACGTACAAATTAAACTAACATTTATTCGTGATTCAACTGCTAAATTAATCCAGTTTTGGTGAAATACAAGCAATGTTGAGTTGATTCACAATATATACAAAGCAACATTGAGCAGATATAACCCACAACAAGCAACTCAATCAATATCTAAGTTGTAATTTTAGCATGCAATTCCAATATGATTATACAATTGCTACTGAGAAAAAAAGGATGAATGCTCAAACATCTTATCATTTTTAACAGACACCAAAATTGTCTTGCCAAATCAATTAGGAAAAGTACACAAGAATTTAGGACTACTGAACTTTCAAAAATTACAAAATGGTCATAAAACTTATCGAATTGTTACATCATGTCATTGCAATGTATAATAATTGTAAAAATTCGATAAATTTAATGACCATTTTGTAACATTTCGATAAAATTTAATAATCATTTTGTAACAGTTCGATAAATTTAATTACCATTTTGTATTGTTTGAAGGGTAAATTACATGTTTAGTACTCAACTATCAATTTTAGTCCGTTTTAATACAAAAACTTTTAATTTTTTTCAAAATCATACCTAAAGTTTAGTTTTTATTTCATTTTAGTACCCCGTCGTTAAAACTTCAGTTCTTGTTTCATTTTAATAATTGTTCAAAATTAACATTAAGTTTTGAAAAAAATTAAAAATTTAGATACTAAAACGGACCAAAAATTATAATTTATGTACTAATCGCGTGAAAAACTTCACGGCGGGTACTAAAATGAAATGAAAACTGAAGATTAAGCATGCTTTTGAAATAATTGAAAGTTTAGGTACTAAAACGAACCAAACTGATAGTTTAGGTACTAAATGCGTAGTTTACCTTTTGTTTTTTAAGTTAAGTGACCAAAACGACTGTTTTAGCATACTTAAGTGAACTCGTGTGTTCTTTACCCAATAAATTATCATATTCACAAGAAAACAAAGAACTTAGAGATAAAAATATATAGCACAAACCAATTTTCTCCGACTCCAAACACGGCGACCACCGCCATCACTTTGTGACCGGCAAACAACCTGGAAAGAACTATTAATCAGAAAAAAAATATTTTCGGGTAATTCAACAATACAAATAAAATGGGTTTCGAAATATAAAACCTGTGAGCTAAATGGGTGTCGAGGTGCCGTTATTAGTCCCTGTTCTGGCCTGGGTCAAACCAAGGGGAAAAATCCCAGAAAAATGAATTGAATTTAATATTACAAAGAAGATGGAGGGGCCTAAATTGGAAAACAAAGAGGGTTGAACCTTTACCGATGTAAGAAGCGGTGAAGAAATTTGAGCTGGAAATTGCAAACGCCATGCCCTTGTTCGAGCTATGATAGTTCAGGATTAGGATGCTCTGAGCTAAGAGAATAAAAGGTAAGAGTACGAGAGTTTGAAACGGCAAATATAGATGCCGTTTTACTGCGAGTAAAATGTGCCTGAACCCAAAGATCCAAACTTGTTGGTAAACTACCTCATTAGTCATGAAACTATAGGTTTTGTTATATTTTGGTCATTAGACTAAAATCTTACAAATTAGTTTCGGGATGGAGAAGGGTTATGGGGGTGAAGTGTTTGGGTTATCTGTTAGGTAAAGAGTTTTTTGGGACCAGAATAATAAATTTATAATTATAAAGATTAAATTTATTAAATTATTTAGAACTAAGATTAATTATTATAATATATAATATTGAAGATGATTATATATCACATTATCATTTTCATTATCAATTTAAATGCGGTAGCCCAATTGACAGTAATTTGTAACATTGGTAACTAAATATACAAGATTTTTAATTTGGTGACCAAAATAAAACAGGCCCATGATTTGGTGATTAATGGGTTAGTTTAGCCAAGCAATTTTTATAGTATAAGTTATGTTGTTTTATAAAATAATAATCTAAGTGTTGAAATGTTGAGTATTGAAAATCAAATACTAAAAAGTTAAGGATTTTATGTAAACTTTTATCATACACAACCCTTGTAATGTCAAAAACATTAACATTATTAGCAGCCCAGTTCCATGTAAGACATATGACCTATGTTACCCGATCTATCCATGTAAATAAATTATGTTTTTATTCTAAAATATATTGGCAGTAACTTTTTTTATATCACCATATTCGATCTATTAAATTATTAATCCGAATCGGATAATACAGAACATTGCAGTCTTTCTTAATTTCAGGGGAAAAATGAAGCATTGCAGGAAAAAGCCAAAACAGAGACTCCTCATGTTACAATTTACAATAGCGTTCTCTCACCCTCCCCACAGTTCTTAATTCAAGACAGAGACTTAAATAAAACACACCATTGTTTTATGCCTACATGACATGCACAAAAGCTCATTATAAGTCCAGAATTATACCATCTGGAGTCGGATTACGTGGAGACGTCAGTTTAAGGTCCGAGTCCTAGGAATAGCTTAAGGTACATCTTCTTGTGCTGAATCAAAAACCGGTTGAGCCAAGTGAGACATCAGTTTACAATAACAGTGCTAAGAAACGAACAAAGACGATACGAGAGACTACTGCTTAGGATGAAGCCTTGAAGCAAGCTTTGGGCTCTCTCGGACTGCTCTGGAGTACCCGATATTTGATGATCTTTTGCGTCTCATCTGGTCTATCTTCTACCAGAGTCACATTGGCACCAGACAACTATACCAAAAATACATCCACCAAGAGATGAATTACTTGAGATCTAATTGAATCAAAGTAAACATAAACAAAATATGTACTTGAAAGCAGTGATGGTTACCTCGCTGATCTGCGCCAGTTTGTTTTTCGATTTTGCTATCAGCTTGGTAACAGCATAATCCGGTATGACAACTTCAAGTGTACTCCTAGTAACAAGTGGTACAGCGATCCTAATAGAAAATTACAAGCAAGAAAAGCACTATTTATTAGAATAGCCTTTAAAATACTGGAAGGAATTAAAAACCTTCATTCTCTAAATGGAATTTTCTTAAAAAATAATGCAAAACTTAGTCACCTGCTAATTGCACTTGGTACATCTTCACGCCGTTCATACAAGCAAGAAAAGCACTATTTATTAGAATAGCCTTTAAAATACTGGAAAGGAATTAAAAACCTTCATTCTCTAAATGGAATTTTCTTAAAAAATAATGCAAAACTTAGTCACCTGCTAATTGCACTTGGTACATCTTCACGCCGTTCAGATTCGGTCTGCTTCACTGTTTCCGCACCAGATTTCATAACTTCCTATAAAAAAATAATTAATTTCTATAACCATGTTCTTAGAATGAAGAAGATGGCCCTGATGCACTTCAAGATGTTCAGTTGTGCACCACATAGCCGTTAAAGATTTTCTTCTAAAGAAACTAAAGGAGAACTTGATGCTAAGATTGGAGAACTTTTTTTTTACTACATATGCAATGGAAAAAAAAATACCAGCGGTGAAGCAGTGAAAGGAAAGTCAAAATCAAAAGAAAGCACCATAAGTACAACCTTTGATGATGATGGCGTTGCTGGAGTTGGCACATTCTGATAGGCTCCAGCAGGATGGTCATTGGCAGTTTGTCCATCACGAGCTGGAGTTAGGTCTGGAGAATATTCCCAATGGATGTTGCAGTGATAGGTGTGCTAGAGGTGGAGGGTCCTGAGAGAATTCCCTATACAAGTAACTGCGTAATCGTGATGTGATCTCAACAAGAGCATCTCGAGCTGCCTTAATCTCCCCCACAATCTGCAGAGTAACTCAAAGAGCTATTCAGAATATACAAGGTAAATCCATCCTATAATCTCATCCATCATTTATTAAACTTGACAAACTCATGGCCAAGAGATAGAAAAACTTAAGACTCGAGAGTTTGAATCTTCCAGCCTTGATTTAACTAACACCGAGAAGCTAAGATCTCTTTGGTTCATAGGAATAGGTATCTAATTAGCAAACCTGCACAATGTCATTCAGTCCTGATACACAAGAAGGAAGTTCTTCTCCTGACAGTATCTGTATGTTTGCACCGGTTAATCTTTTCATTTCCGATAATGATCCATCTCTTCCCTCTAAACATCCAATTTCACTCGATGGAACAAGCAACCTAGTAGTTACTATGTTATCTTTATCAGGAACAAGGTCAACAATCTGAGTTTGGATATGCAATAAAGCCTCTTGAGCTGGAAACAACTCATCATCAGGACCCTAAGGACAAACAAAACCAAAGATATGTTAGAAACCTTTAAGAGTAAAACTTGTAATTGACAATATCTGATTCAAAAAGCTAAAATGTGACAGAATTTATCACCCAAAATCAGCTGTGGAAAAGAAAAAGTCCACAGGCTAAAGAAAAAACTATCCACCCAAGTGACTACATGTTATTAAATAAAAATAGAGAGACAGTAAGTACCTCCTCAGAAGAAATGGTAATTATCTGCTCATCTGACCCTGCCACGGGATCAGCAACCTTGACATCCACACCAATTTCAGTTTTGAAGTAAATCTACTATGCCATCTGGCTCCCCAAAAACACTATCAACCTTGTCAATAGGGCAAGTATCCGAAACACAAGATCCTCACCATACAGAGGTTGTCCACTGTCAGCCATAGGAGCAGTCCCAGCTTCAATGAAGCCAGATGAACGTGAGGAATAATTGTTGCCTCTGTAATTCATAGTAGAAATCCGAGAACCAAAGAACCATCCATAGATGATTTACGTGAATATGTTTACCGGTGGAATATAATCATCATCAGGGGAAAACCACTCTGGTGAATGCATCCGTCCATGGAAATTACTGCGGTCACGATGCTGACTCTCCCTTAAGCGTGATGAAATAATTGCTATAGCATTTTTTACAGCACTTGCATCACCTACAACCTGCATGACAAACAACAGTAGAAACATAAACCATTTTCAGTAACTTCCACAGAGGGAAATTGGGAGGGAGAAAGAAGTTCAAACTGAATATGCTTAGATAGATATTGTTGAACCAAAAAATCTTTCCAGAATAATCATGTTTGGTAGCCAAACCACCCATAACAAATAGCAGGATCAGAAGCATTATTCTTTGCAATGCATTAGGACAGTGGAAACAATTCAATTTATACGGATCTAAACTACCAACTTGTATACCCATTTGCAGCCTCAGCTGCATAGAATACCTAGATTTGGAACTTTATCAGCAATCATAGAAATATGGTTAAGTAGAAACACGGGATAAAGTGGAAGACGATAATATTATGCAGCATTCATATGAATGATGATAATATATTTAAAGATTAATAGAACTGACGGGACCATCAAAAGAACTTGGATCTGATAAGGAAGATACATTCAAATAATAGATAAGCATTATGTATAGAATGCCAATATAAATCCTGATAGCTTTCAAATACATGAAATATTCCATCAGTGAGCTATTATGAGAGGAAAAACTACATTGTGCGTATTTTTCTTGCCCAAGAACCCAAGTATCTACCGAAACAAAAGCAGATGAAAATTAAACCATGAATGTGGCAACAACTTGAATATTGATAAAGCCGCAGATTGGGAAAAAAACACAGGAATGCAATCAGACTACAAGGCAAAGAATTTGAAATTCCCAAATAGAAGAAGTCAATCTTATTTGAAACAATATGCCAGCTAAAACCTCCATAATGAAACCTTTTGAAGACCTTAAGCATCTATAGTTTAATAACAAATAATAGGTATTTGTTTCAGCAAAAAGGGCAACTTGTTTAACATGAAGACAATATTACCAGAGCCGCAGTCCAGCAATGCCACTGCCGATGTCATATACTAGTATTAGATTCTTAATAGAAGTTTCTCCAAAGGAAAAAGCAATGAAAGGAAACCACATTAGTAACTCCTATAATCCATGGGTAGCATTCATTCAGGTCAAGATTTTGGATTCAGCTCACCAAGACCTGAAATTCTTTAACTGGTGCATAAACATTTAACTGCCCAATCATTCCATTAAGCCATTGCATTTAAACACATCATCAAATTTTGAAAACCCCAAAGATTAGTATTTGTAATTACGCCTAATTTTTGTGCAATAAATGCAAATCCAAATGCAGTTGGTCGCAGACCTGAACAATCTCCTCAGACATGGAAACGCAACGGGGCAAGGTATGGTCTCTAGGCAGAATCCTAATCTGAGTCTTTGTTTCCATTCTCATTTGCTCAATAATCTTTCCTCCTTTCCCCAATAAAGAACCCACATGCATCCTCGAAACAACCAACCTCGTCGCCACCCTGTTCCCTCCTCCTCTCACCACCGCTCCGTATTCCTCATCCTCCTCTCCTCCGCCACCACCAAATCCAAACTGCGAATCACTCTCCAGAATCCTCTCATGTATAAGGAACAACGCCTCCTGAGAAGAGGAGAAAA